CTCTCTCTCTCTCTCTCTCTCTCTCTCTCTCTCTCTCTCTCTCTCTCTCTCTCTCTTCCTCTCTTCTTTCCTGAATGCGTAATTATCCGGCACGGTGCGAAGGCCGATCGCCACTGAAATAAGTAACATTCTCTCACTTTCGTTAATTAATTCACGTTCGAATACCAACCGGCGATTAAATTACTTACTCCGATACATCGATGCGACACCGCTATCGGCAACGCGCGCAACTCTCGCGCGGTTCCTCCGTGCGTCGAATTAATTATTCCGCTTTAAACCCATCTTTCGCACACTCCACCTCCTCCTCCTCCCTCATCTTCATCTCCTTCGCAGCGCGCGCGCGCGTAATTTCCCATCACCTTTATCGGCGCGTGGTCTAGAGGCGCACCTCGAGCGACAAAGAGACGTCGTCGTCATGACGCCTCGCGTTGCCTGAGACACGAGATACATCCGTGGACGACGTCGACGTCGACGACGACGACAACGACGACAAGGACGACGAGGAGGAGAAGGAGTAGGAGGACGGCGCAGACAGTTCTTCCCGATGACGCTTGACGTACACACGATTTCTACGAAGTTGTGCGGGAGGGAGGGAAGGGGGAGGGAGTGAGGGTGGTGGCAAAAGCAACCCTAGTGACCGACGCGGAACACGTCGATTCCATCGAGGCTAACTCTGGGTTTGACGTATCGACAGAGAAATATATGACGAAGTAATATTTTTCCGTGCCCCCTCGGGTGATGGCATTTTCCCTTCACTCGCCCATCATCTCCCCTTAACAGTTTTCCCATCAACAGACAGCAACGCCGAAAAATTGTGCTTCTGACCTTTGTTTTCTCTCTTTTTTTTTTTTTTCATTTTTTATCTTTTAATATCGCGAAAACACACACAATCCGCGTATCCCCGAGGTCCCGCCGCTGATAATGACTGGAGCTCCCGATCCCCTCGTTGACGGGCGATCGAATTGAGTCGCGTTATTCGATCCCGGCAAATTCGACGCATCGCCGACTGACAGAGAAGTGTGATTCGTCCGCGTGATTTATTTATTTTCGCGGTACGCGCGCGGTGCGCGCCATTGTTTGAACAAAGTTCGCTTTTCGGAACATTGTATTATTCTTGACATCGCGTGGCGCGGTTATTACAGGCATGCGTCCGTTTGAATTTCCCAAAGCCGCGTTGAAGTTTCACGCATGCGACGTCTTTATCGAGAATAAAATCTGTTTCTCTCTCTGTTTTTTATCGCGTCGCTTATTATTGTTACTATTATCATTCTTATTATTGATGTTTTTTGTCCACCGCTAAAAATCTGTTCACATATTACAATACATATTACAATACAAATTAGTTGCTTGTAGCCTTAGGGACTTAGGGAGGAGTGGGGCACAGAGGACCGCTTAACATTCTAAAGTTAATAAAAAATGTATCAGTTATAGGAAATGACTCAAAGTTGCTCAGCACATACCTACAAGAGTTATGCATATGCAGACAAAGCGTTAGTTTAATAACTGCAAGAGATTTTATTTTAGACATTAAAATTGTTGGAAAGAAAAATGGTCCTCTGTGCCCCAACCACAGAGGACTATGTATCATTTTCTATATATGTATGATAATATTTCGCATATCATACATATAAGTAGAAACAGAGTAATAAAAATAAGTTTATCATTTTCAGATAACACACACACACATGTGTGTGTGTGTGTGTGAAAGCAACATATAAAGTAAGAAAAACAATGTTTTATTGGCATTTCTTCCTTTATTTTTAATTCATAAGTACATAATAAGAACAATATATTTATTATGTAATGACGAAAAATTTATTTATTATTATATATGTGCCCCGAACGATCCCTGACCTTTGTGCCCCAAACACACACTTTACAATAAAATACACGTATTTATGTCTATATGACAATGTAAAAATAATGTAAATATACACATAACTTCTTTAATATATTGTGGATACCTTATGAAATTCGATTTCGCAATAATAATACTATGTCATTACGAACATATTAACATTACATTTTAACAAGCGTACCTCCAAAAGTGATTCTTTTGCAGTTTTTTCGTTACAGCCTTCTCTATAAGCTTTGTTTACATGGTCTACTGTCATTATACTATTAGCGGTTGTCTGTTTATTGTAATTTCTTCATTTTCAAACAGATAGCGTTTGTTCATCTAGCATTTGTTTTATAAGCTGTAGTCCTCTGTGCCTCCCTGGTCCTCTATGCCCCGCTCTCCCCTACAATTATTTATTGTTTCTAACGTAATGTCTTCTTATTTTCCTATACTATCCTTTTATATTTTCTTATATTTTCCTATATTATCCTATATTATTTCCTATATTTTCCTATACTACTTATACATTCTTATACATTCTTATACATTCTTATACATTCGATATAGCGCTGTACGCTATCCTTTTTTAAAAAATTTTGTGCTGTAACTCTAGGAGGCATATCCCAAGTCCAAATTTGAATCCTATTTTCAACCTCACTATTCCATTCAACAGATATTTTGACACTAAAAAAAGTGGAAAGGAAGATTTCGAACTTCATCAAAGTAGAAGTAAATTGTATCATTAAAATTAAACTTATTTTGCTAACTTAGCTGTTATTGCGTTGTAGTCTCTTAAAGTGAATCAATGAATAGTCACTGATATCAGTTATAAGTATAGCGCTGAGCAGTTTCAGTGCTATACTTATAGCTGCAAATCAGTGTATATTTACTGCTTTCAATGATGTTTCACTGATTAATTTTAAGAGAGTAGGACTCAAGGTTTAAAATAGGACCAAAATTTCGACTCGAATAGCTCCAGGAGTAAATAAATTCCTTTTCTCTCTCTCTCTCTCTCTCTCTCTCTCTCTCTCTCTCTCTCTCTCTCTCTCTCTCTCTCTCGCTCTCTCTTCCCCTATCTCTCTCTCTCCTCTTTTTCTCTTTCTGTCCATCCGGCGATAATTACGGCGCGTCGCGCTCATTAACTGACAAAATCCCAACGGCGGCGCGCGACGTCATTGCAATTTCCCGTGACGATCGCCGCGCGTTTCCTTGCGACGATAAATGATCCCCGCGTTTGAGCCGACGGATACGTTCGTTAATCGGTTTTCCGTCTGCGATAATCTCGGCGCGCCGGTACTGATCTACGGGATCTATGACAGGAAATCAAGGCTACGGACTGCGAGGAGCGCGCGGAGGAGGAGGAGCTTGATGGACACGAGTTAATACCGTCCCCTGACAGTGGCAAGTCAACGGACAACGAAGCGGCTCTGTCGCCGATCAAGATTCGATCTGACGTCAACGGGTTGGATCACGAGGACTGCGACGAATTGATCCACGTGGAGAACACCACGCAGGCCTGCATCATGCATGCCCTCAGCATTGTAAGTGATTTCCTTCACGCTCCCATGCCCCTTCGCGACTCGACAGGGCTTTCGCGGAAACGAAATCGATAGAAATGAAATTTTAATCACGGTCAACGCGTGAGCTGAGACAAATTAACCGAATAAATCCCAGATACTGAAAGCGAGATATTAATTGCCGAATAGTGCAAATGCACGCGAATGTCTTGATCTGACTTCAAATGTCCGCAAAAGTGTATAAAAGTATACACTTTTGCGAATATTTGGCTTGCTACTATTTCATGCTTGCGATTTTAATTTGCCAGACATTCGCGTCACTTGGGTGACTTTTATAAGCCACTTGTTGATACAATTACTCTATAAATACACTTGTTAATACAATTACTCTATAAAATAAATACTTTCCATTTCTTAAATATTTCTTAGATATTTTTTTCTCTCAGTGTAAGAATAAAATTGTTAAACTTTTCGCACCTGCAGACTTTTACACAGAAAATCCGCCTGAAATCGTGATGTAAACGGAAAGGCGATTTCTCGTGAGCAAAATAAGTCAGAAATGTGAAGATTATGTTTTTTTCTTACACACGAGGAAGCATAATTAAATTCGCAATCAAGTTTCCCTTCACGTTTGTATCGCGATTTCCTTGAAATTCCACAATTTTCACGCCTGGTACTTTGCGCTCGTGACAACCTGTGGCACGATATAATCTTTCGAGTGACGAAAGGTAATTGTGCCTTCACGATGGAGATGTCCATAATTACGATTTCATTAGAGATTAGATGAGAAATAAGAGACAGACGTATATATATATATATATTCTATTTACCGGAGAGTAGACCGGCGAATTCGGATGTCGCGCAATGACAGAAACAGCGTCGGAGCGCATCTCATCGTGAGGATCGTAAAGAGCGTTAAAGATCGTAATGGATCCAGCATGGCGGCCTTAATGACCGGTCCTACTCTCGCCGCACAACAGTTAAAAGCAGTCATCCACGATGGAGAATCGTTCTTCCCGGGTGCATATTAACGGCAGCATCGTAAATCGGTGTCGTCGGCGTCGGCAACGGCCACGAAGACGGCGACGACAATGACGACGAGGACAACGACGCCGGCGGCGGCGGAGATGATGTCGTCGCGATACTTTTTCCCGCACGATAAATCACACCACTTTGATTCCTGTTGAATCCCGAATTCGGAATTCGAGATCTCGTTTCCCTAAAGATTCTTCCTGATTTACATTTCACGTTAAAATCGAGCAAGGCATATGAAGGTGAAACACTTTGAGTGTTTACACTTCACAAATGTGAATATGTAAAAAGTGTCAAGATTCTTTTTCTTATTATTTTATTTTGTATCTTTTACTTTGTCATTTTCATTATTGACATGAAGACTCCTTATTTAGAAGAATCTTGAGAAGTTTCCATGCAGGATTTTGGAACTAAGAAAATGCAATATCTTTTGTCTGCAAAATGTACTGATCTTACAATGGATATGGTTGGAAGTCTTATAATTATTAAAATCTCGTAGCTATAAGCTGTAACAATCACCACAATTACAATGTTGCGTATTTCCTCTGTTACAGGACTCGTCCTTAGAATTGAATTCTGACACGAGCTCGAGAGTAACTTCCGGAACAGTAATGGCCTTGACTAATGGATCATTATCAGCGAAGGAATAAACGAGAGAAGGAGAGAAGAAGAGAGCGAGAGCGAGAGAGAGAGAGAGAGAGATAGAGAGAAAGCGAGTGAGCGAGAGAGAAAGAGAGAGAGAGAGAGAGAGAGAGAGAGGGAGAGAAAAAAATAATTAAAAGAGAAGATACATAGAATATTCATCGGAACGGTCTTCCCCGGCCAACCAACGAGACATATCGATCTCCTTTAAGGATAACGCACCCGTTTGTATATAGCTTAATTGCCTAACAAATTATTCAGGATCACTAGATCCAGTGATCTATGCCGGCTAGTCGAGTATCGGTCATCTTCCCGAAACACAAAGGACATCGATTCCGTTTTGAACTTTTTACGTGCAGTTCCGCTGAAAAATTCACTTTAAGCGGAATAAGTAACGTTTAATTGAGACAAAAACAGGACAAAGATCACATTAGGCTTGGTCCTTTAAATTACTTTCGTTCTGCTCTACATGTTCGTTCCACCGTAAGAAATTTCTTTCGCTGCTCTTATGTCGTTGGAAATTACTGATAAAACATAAACGAATAGTAATAAATAAAGAAATACTAAAAAGTAAGAGTTTTCCGGAACCTTTTGGCATTTGAGCGAGTTTGATTTCGAGAAATCGCGTGTACTGTTCTTGTTACATCCGCAGATTTATAAAGCTTCAAAGTGTCGCCCAGTAATTCAGATTTGTTCCTCTTAAAGTCGTTAAGAGCTTTAAATTTTGTAAGTTCTTGAATTTTTAGATTTTGAGATACCGTTTTATCTAGTTCCTAGGTGTTTGGATGTGGCGACTCTCGGGATCGCGCATCCATATAAATTCGTAGACCTTCTATTCGAATATATTGAAATTACAAACGCTTGTTTCGTCGTCTCGAACGCGGAGTGTCGAAGATGAGGGTATTCGAGGACGTAATATTAGCCAAAGGGAATCATCGATGGATGTAATGCTTCAAAGTGTGTCTGTGTGTGTATGTCAGGAGTTATTTATTTACCAGTTATCACCCCAATCAAGTAATCACCGCCGATTGATTTGCCGCGACGGTCGTACTTTTGTAACACGCGTCGATAATGCCGGTAAATAAATAATCCTTGAATGTCGGCGAAATCGTTTGTTAAGACGAGGAGAAAAAGGATACGTCTTGTAACTTCCTTTCGTAGCAGTCGCACATGCGCGTGTATGTGTGTAGATTAAGTATAGATTAAGTCACTTTAATTATTTATATAAATGAACATATCTCCCGATACGAACAATGCTGTCGGTGGCGGTCCAGCAAGTAAGCTCCACACAATGCGACCTCAAACAACGAGAAGTCCTGTGCCGCCGCGACTTTCTTTCGTCAGTGTTTCGTTCCCGAAACACCGCTGCGGCGCGTCGTGTATTCGCGACGCGCGTACCCATCAAATATACAACATGAAAATCAAAGCGATTGTATGCGTATGAGTGTTGAATAAATTATCAAACGATCAAGCTGCTTTACTCTTAGTTGATTCTTTCTTGCGCTCGATGTCTCGCTGGTGGCTCGCCATCGACAGCGCCTGTAGTATATGCATATCAAAGATCTAGACGTGTCATTTCTTGGTACAGCCTGTACAATTCGTAAACGCATCGCGAGAAAAGAAAGAGGAACGAGCGAGGACACCAGCCACCATTTACGACAGCCGGAAAGGAAAGGAAAAATCGGTCGAGCTTTCACGAGGCCTGACGCGCTTCTCTTCCTGCGTTTTTCTCTCTGTAAAACAAACAGAACGTAATTTATTATGTCACGACTAGATGATAGCGACGAGAGTTATTTGTTTATAGCCTCCATATATAAACAATGTTTTATGGATCATTAATATCTAAATAAAATATATTACGTCTTTTAAGAGCCGAGGTCTTTTTCTCTCTCTCCATCATGCCGGCGCGGCTAATCCTTAACTGCGTCCACGCCATTACGGCCATTCTATTTCAATCGAAGGGAAGAAGATAACTGGACGTTTAGTGCTATTTTTCCCGCTTACAATACGTGTATTGATCGAGGAACACTCATCACTTCGGCGATCATAGTACGTATTTTCATTTCGGTTGACAAAATGCAGCTTTCACAATGTAGACAATTAGATTACCAACTGCCGTGAGCTTGAGCTACATCGTAGTTTTCCACGAAAAGTTTCAAGATCCAAAGATATATATATTTAATGAGCCTCGACCGTGTATGAGAAATAGGAAGAAGATGCCGTAGTAATGGCGTGCTTCATCACGTAGCCGACGTCGAGCAACAAACAGCGCGCACAGGAGCGTTAAAAATTTCAGGCGCGGTTAAAAATTTCTGGCAGTCGTCTCGGCGTTCTGTATTGAAACGATAAAAGTACTATTGTTACTCTTGGATAAGAAAAAATAATAACTGGAGAATAATTGGAGAATAATGATCAAGAACCTGCAGGAGATTTATTCGTTCGAAAACAACTGTGTCTGTTATTCATCACCAAAACATTTCTATATTTAACAGTTGAAAGATTAATTAGATTAGTAGATTGAAAATATTGTATAGTATGCATGATGTTATGAAACTAGCGACTTTAATTTTAGCAAGTTCTCTGAATGATTCATATCAACGAGATGACTTATATAATTGAGGCATCAATAATTTCGAGATGTAAACGATCGAAGAAACAGAATTTCTCACGAAAATCAATTTTAGTCTACTACGTGGAGAATTGAATTATATTCTTAGGTCCATCTCGAATGGAGTTTAACGGAATTTTTATTTTAGGGGCTTAGTTATAAAGCTTAGTTATAAAGCTTAGTTATCTCATATTAAAAAATTAAAATTATTATAATGGTATACCCCAACATTTTCGTTTAGGATAAATTTTTCTAAATTACTCAGAGGATCTCTCAATGAAATTAAATTCGCGAGTTCTGCAACACCACGTACGTAATATAAACATAACATAAACTATATACATGACCTATGACATCCTCTGTCATTGATCTGTTGCAGGAAAGGAAAGGAAGAAGAAGAAAAAAGGAAAAGAAATGTGTTTCTGGAGAAAGATCACGTGCCGTGATGGCTGTTTGGCTTTTAACGTAGTAATTAGTAGTCTGATTGCGTAGTAGACTAGTAGTTGTGACGACATATAAAATGTGCCAAAGGAAGAGAGATCCCGCGCTTCTTGACACGTTGTTTCTCCACCTAAAGCGTTCGTCCCTTCGAGCGACGCCTAATTACCGTGGAGTATCGCGACGTCGTGGGGCATTAGGACGCTTTTCGTAGTCGTTCCCCTTCAACCGAGAGGCTCGTTACACAAAGACTTTACGCGCCCAGCCGACCTCTTGACTTTTCGTTTAATAAGTCCGTTGTTCCCCCAATTAGGGTAGACTGCCTCAGTCGTGATTTCGTAAACAGCGGAATTCTTTCCATTCGGCCTTTCTCATACGCGTTCTTCTCATAGATCTCGCGATTAAAACTGACGTGTTTTTAATGACATCATAATTAAAAACAAGAAAGAACAAACAAAATTATGCTAGAAAACTGTCACACTGTAATAAAAAATATGCTGTTCACGCGAAGGGAGATTTGGGTTACAAAGCTAGATGCGGACGAGAGAAGATGCGCGATGACGAGATTCCTCCAAATCATAGATGAAACGTAGAAGAGGTCAAAGCTATTTTCAGAGTTTGATAATGTACTTATAGTAAGACAAATAAACCTAGTGCACCATGACTTAATTCACATCATGCGGCAAGCTGCGCTCGCGAGGAAGGTTTGGCAACCCGGAAGTTCAACGAAATCTTTTGTTTTTGTAGGGAGAAGAAAGGAAAGAATAATTCAACATTTTTTATCCTCATGTAAACAAACTCATTTTTAAATGGCAAGGGAGGACATTACCCGCTGGAACATCTTTTTGTATGCAGCTTCTTTATAATATTTTTAGAAAGAGCTCGTGCGTCTTTCTTCTATCTCTCTCTCTTTCTGTGTGTCTCTTCCTACCTTCGCAAAGATATTTTTATCTTTTATGTATTGACGCACTTAACTGCAACTGCGTGCAGTCTTTAATTTATTTTCCACAAATTTGCAAGTAAAACACAAATATGTCTGCAAGTAAACTATACGACTCGAGTTAGTTGACTGATATTCAGTTAAATAATTCGACGTAATAAAGTTACGAAATGATGCCTCGTCTTTCTGGTAAACAAGACTTTCCGGTAAATATCAGATACATTTTTGTTGATATCTACAATTAGGTCACTGTATCATTGAAATGTGTTACGAAACGCCAGGTCTGTTCGGTCTCTGCCGTCAACCTGCCTGACATATTTGCATGTTTGCAGACTGCCGGAAGAACAATTTAATGTGTAGTTATTGCCAATCCGCAGCATGCCGATCGTATCTGTTGCCAAACTGCTGGCACAGTGCAATCGTTTAACTGTCTGCTTGAGAAACAAAAGATGTTTCTATACTCGGTGCGCGACGTCACGAATGCCTCCATCTCTCCTGGGTAAGTTCTGAGAAATTTGAGGACATCCCCGATGTCGGCCATATTGTTTTATTCTGAAGCATTTGTAGTTTATAAAATCATTGTATACGTTATGTATAGTTTACTTTTATATGTGTTCAGTAATCATACGTCGCCTCTCGTATCTCGAGAAAAATAATTATTTTATAGTTTCGCATTGTTTTTTTATAATTTATGGAAGTGAAACACATATCTCCAAATATTCGCGTTCATTTTATAACTATCTGTAATTAATCAATTATTGATCAAGAGATATGGTTGTGTCTATTTCGAAAAGATTCGTAGTTTTGAAATACATACCTTTTCTCAAAGAGGAATGCAAAATCAGACGTTGTATTTTCGTGTATTCGACACAATATCGATCTCCTTGCGTCTTTTCTTCGCACGATTCTGAATTTCGGAAGCTGTGCGTGGAACTGACAACGGCAAAACGTGATATTCACTCAAAACTATCGTTGAAAGTAAACTTTGCCGCCGCTTACTTACTGCTTTACCAGCAGTTGCTTTAAATAGAGTCGCTCTGGTATCGACGAGATGTATCAAGCATTTCTCTGGTTTGAATGGACCTGAAAAATAAAAGTCTCTCTTTCTCTCTCTCTCTCTCTCGTCTCCTCTTCTTATTTCATTTTCCACTATTTTCTATCACTCTATTTTCTATTATCTGAAGTAGAGCAACGTTCGTTTGTCCATTAATCTCATATCTACGAAACGGCACAGTCACGGCAGCTGTCGGACGCTGGTCAGGTAAATACATTTATTTGCTGTCACAAATAAGCCTGCGATACACAGCACCTTGTTGTGTAATGCGTTCCTTCACACTACAATCAAATTAGAATTAAAGTTTAAGTCATTCAAGTGAAAACCTTCCAAGAGATCAACGGCTTCGCCAACAGGCGAATCCTACGACCGAGGAGTCGATTGAAGGCGCGTACTTCCATCGCGCGCGATTATTTCGAAGTAAGGCCCATGATGAAGGAAGGACCCCCGCGAGATCTCTCGTGTCGTTCGGATGATGCGCTTTCGCTCTTCGCAGGACTTTTGCATTTCACTTTACGTAATCCGTGCGCTTACGCGCGCACGCATGTATACGTGGGAAAGCAAGGGGTACTAAAGAAGTCAGTTGCCCCACTCCCCACAGTTTGAACCAGTCCGCAAGCTCAGCTTCTCTCTTCTCAAGTTGCGATCCAAGTAGTCAGCGTGCGATCAGTGTCAGACCGTCAATCAGTCCGTTCGGACGGCTCAGAGGTCCGTCCCGTGTGGTGTTACATCCTATTTTGTGAAGCTTGTCGCGCCAAACCGCAATACGCACACACACGTGAACGCGCGCACATACACACATACACATACAGGTACGAGAGAGAGAGCGCGCGCGCGCGCTCATGCACCAGAGAGAGAGGGAGAGAAAGGAAGAAAGAGAGAGAGAACGGTATTTTCGGTGTTTTGCGCTCGAACCACACATCTCCCGGGATATTTCGAGGTGAGTCAGTCAATAGAGAAGAAGACGAAGAAGAAGAGAAAGACGACGGGCAGCAGGTCGAACGGAACAAACCGGCGGCTGCGGAACACGTGCGCGCCCGCGCCGCCAACGCGCCGATTTAATCGCGTAAATAGGACTGTTTAGGAGAGCAGTATTGACGACTAATTTTCTCGCGTGCAGATTATTTCATCGGACTGGAATAGATCCTGCGCTTTCTCTCGCTTCCGATCGGCTCGCCCGCCGTCGGCAGCTCGCGGTTTCGCATCCCCGCGGTTTCGCGACCGCCGCGCGATGCTCAGCGCGATTTTCCGCACAGAAGCGCGAACTTCCTGCTTCCTCCTTTTTTTTTCTCTTTTATCCTATCCTTTCCCGACGTCCCGCCGCTTCCACATACGAACGCGCATCTCGACGCGGAAGCGCGTTATTCGTTTTAACAACTCCACGTGTGTGCGTAACAACGCGGCGCGCCCCGGCGCGAGATTTCGCGCGCGTTCGCGTGAATTCGGTTTGCTAATGAACGTAATCAAGCGAGAATCAAGAGAGCCGCTGTAGTTTTTGGTTTACCCATCGGACAGCGGTGTTGCTTTTTTGCGGCGCGGGGATGGGGAGAATATATTTTTGTGAAAACAGCGTGATACGCGCTTCTATTATGAATACGCGTTTGAGCGCAAAGCTCTTCTCCATTTGTCACATCCAGAGTCGAAATTTCGATATTGCTTTTGGTCACAATATTCCATTCAACGTTTATTTTGATACTCCCAAGCTTATTTCAACTTTTTACAATTCTGTTTAATCCACTAACGTTGCCTAAATTCTTTTGAAAATCTACTAGTGAGATTTTGTATGTTTTTTGCCATCTAGAAGCACTAAATTGGACTTTAGTTTCCATATGTATGTGCACAGGAAAATACATACTATATTCAAGTGAATAAGTTAATAAATCATAAGTTTATATATTCGCAAATCATATCTAAATAAGTTCATCGTATCAAATTTATTCTAAATATATTCTAAATTCTGGTGAGTTTAATATTTCAATGAAGAGTATTAAATTACAGCAAAAATTCAGTTTGCTTACTATATAGAGACAAACCAACTTTTTTTCTATGATGTTTATTCTCGCGAAGAGAATAAATTCTTCTTTCGAGTACATGATATGAGCTTTTGTCAAATTTATATTGAGTATATTTTCAACTTTATCAAGAAAATATTCTTTGTTGAAAATTACTTAAAAGAAGAAAAGTGAACTGAGTGATTGCTTTTCTTTATTATAAAATAATATTTTTTATACACTGATCTTCCGTAATATACAAATATTACAACGTTGAGGTAAAAACAGGACCAAAATTTCGACTCGGGTTGTCTCAAATGAGATAATCAGATGAGTATCTCATGTATCTGTGAGTTCAGAGTTTCCCAAGCCGAAATTTTGATTTTAATTTTCTTTAATTTGAATTTACTTTCTTGACCTCAATTTCCCATTTAACGCCAACTTTAATACCTTACAGCCTATATTAATCTTTTTTGATTCTCTTGAATTCACTAACTTTGTTGACAGGTTTTCTTTCGAACTTATAAGTGGCGCGCGTTTTCTATCATTTGGAGGCGCTAAGTATGAATCTATGTGTATCGAGCACATGTATTCTTTCAGCAGTAATATTCTTTCAGCATACACAGATTGGAAAGTTCAGAGCGAAGTAGAATTGAAATTTCGACTCGGATCCCGCGCTGTATTCCCGTTTCGCATTTCACGCTCGCGCCGGGAGACGACGATCCACGGGAGAGCAAAGGGTTGTCGCCTAGCTGCGTTTATTAAGACTCTCGTTGGCCAGCTATCAGTACTGAAATATATCTGTAAAATTTTGCGACACCATCTCGGAATAACCGTACGCGCGGCCGCGAGACTGCGTCGCGGCGAACGGCCGGCTATTCTTCAGCGTTACTTCACGACCTCTTTCTCCCTGCCCTTTTCTCTTTTTTCCCAAGCGTGTAACAACTTTATCGGTCGATAATTAATGAGCCACGGAGCCGTGTAACATTTGATACGACGCTCTTTTATCTCGCTTTTCTCGCGAGAATAGATACACACGCGCTGACATACAAGAGAGCGGGATCGTGTCGACGTTATCGCCCGAATACACGTCTCTTTGAAGTGACAGAGAGAAAGGGAGAAAGAGGAAGAAAGAGAGAGAGAGAGAGAGAGAGAGAGAGAGAAAGAGAGAGAGTGAGAAGAACGGAAAAGAAAAATGGTTTCAAAGTGCGACACTTCGGGACTCTCCATTATGCGGTAAATGACGCGTCATCGTTTTACGATCCCGTCGAGAAATTAGAATTTAGAGGGCTTTTCGGAGACGCTCGGCGCGACGTTTACGACCCGCCGACATATTCCTCAATAACACGCGTGTGTCCTCTGATCGGTATGTGGAGTCTCCGTAAGAGAGCACGGCGAGTTTTTTTTATAGCGCCTGATATATGGTGCGACCGTTGTAAAGCGTTGTGCGCCGTTTGTGTATTTCGAAAACCATTAGCGACGGCGATCATTCTTTTTCCGCGTCCGCTTACGCCAATTTTGGCCCCGGGGCACTGCGGAACCTTCCGATCTAAAACTATATGGCCTTCTTCAACACCGTCGCGTATGTTCGGCATGCGGAAAACGCGTCCGTCCGACATTCTGCCGCGCCTGAAGATGCGTAATGCGCGTCCGCGTATTAAATTCTACGTTCGCGCGCCTCGATTTTTCCACTTATATGTAGAGAAAGATATATATTTTTAATATTCACTGAAGTTTTCAGACGACACACGAGAGAGAGAAAGCGCTTGACACATCCGTTTAATATTGGCACGCGCCCGCTGTTAATTGCCGTAAAATTGTATAAATTTTAGAGAATATAAAGTAGAGGATTTCTCACGATTTATAAACGCTGTCAGAAGCAATCGGCAGCGACAGTGAATCTTGGAATAATTTTGTAGACGCTTGACACGTTACGCTTACCGCTATGGTAGACGGATATGTCATTAACTTCGGCCGTACCTACAGCCAAAAAGCTAAGTTATTCTTACATGGGGAGCTGCGTCGTCTGGCCAGACAGCAGAATAGCTCTCGTAGGCTGCTTTCTAATCTATATTTACATATATTTGTGCATGTACATGGTGAGTCATTTAATACGGGGCAGCTCGAGTAACTTTTTAAAAATCTACATTTTAATGAGATAATATTACACATGTTAAACTGCGCGGGGTATCCCTGAATCCACGGTCTTAACTTTAGTGACAGCCTCCTCTGAGCAATTTAGAGACAATTTTTCTTCAAAGAACATTTCTCCTCAGCAGAGAAATATCGAGGCGTCAATAATTCTCGACAAGCCATTGAGAAAGTTGCTAAAATTTAGTTATTCGCCGAAGAGAACTAAATAGATAACCAAACTGTTCTCTTCAATGAATTTCAAGTGAATTTTAACCAGAATTTCAATTTCGAGCTGTCTACGAAGATGTGTCATATTGAAGATTGAAAGTGACCACAAATCATCACCTGTTTCGTCAGTTTCGCCGAGTAAAATGATCTCCAGATTGCTCAGAGAAAATTGAAGGTTAAATAAACGGAGATAATGTGTCGCATATTTTACAATCTTGCGTAGGACGAAAATTCACATTAATGCTGAAAGACTCTAAGATTGTAAATCACAATACAAAATGCTAAGAGGACAGTAAGAGCCAAATTGCTGTTGTTGGTTGTTTGTTTTTATTACTAATGTATAAACAAACTGTAATTTTATATTGCACTGACTTATTTTTAATATCTCCTATTCGCCCCCGACAGCTACAGTTTGGCTCTTAGAACATTTGCATTTTGATTTAGAGATAAAATTGAGGTCGTGAATTCAGAGACACCTTGTACGTTCTCCAGGGCTTTCCACTTTTCTCCAATTTTATGTATGAAAGATTTTTATTGAGATAATATCATCGCGCAAAGTGTGTATACCTCATGAAACATTTTGCACATTTATATCTCAGGATAAATATATATATATATATATATATATATATATATATATATATATATATATATATATATCTTGCCGCGTATATAGTACTTCGCTTCTCGATGACCTTGCATTAATACGACCTTTTATATCGCCGGATGACGGGAGGAAATCGATTTATGCAAAAATGAAACAGACGTGTACACAGACGTGTACTTCCATTTAAAGGAGAAGCGCGCGATTCCCGTGATCGCCGTAGAGTTTCAAACCGTTGAATCTCACCTCGTGACATTTTCTCCTGTCTCTTCAACTATTTCAGAGCTACAGTCCGCAGGCGTGGTCGTCACGTGGGACACCCTGTATATATTCGATACTATTTGCATAAAGTAAGACGTTTCCTCTGATTGAGATTCTCTCTAAAGAAGCGTTGCCCCTTATGCACCTGAGATCTTTTTCTCGATCATTCGAGACAGGTTGTCGTTGTTGCCGATCGAGCTGTGATATCGATGGTGAACGTCACGAGCAAGACATTCTTGGACAAATCACACCTGCCAGACATGAATTTCTGAATCTCTACCAAGAAACGCGACGGCAGCGGCTCAAGACAACATGGCAGCTCGAATGAAGGCTCTGTACAACCAAGTACGATAGCATAATAGCTGTCTATCCGCATTTAAATCGCATCGCGACCGCAAACGTCTACTGGCACAAGCCGTACGAAGCTCGTGTTACTCTTAGATCGTTAACCAATTGAGAACACAATTTACCCGCACAGCCTTGATTTTCCTCGGCTGACAGCATAAAATCAAACGTATCGCGATGGGAGATGAAAAATCAGAGAGAAAAAAGACGCGAGCTTCCGGTTGATGTCGTTTTAAAAAAAGAAACAAAATGATCTGGCAGATTGGAGCCGCATTTTTTGCGATTTCGTTTCGTAAACATTTCAGTTCGCTTCATCAGAAAGAGACCTTATAGCGGTGTTGGCCATTAAAATCGATTCAAATTTCCTTTGATTAAAATGACCAAATTAATAATCAATTAACAACAAATTAATCAATCATTATAATCACAAATAATTTAATTAATTGATAAAATTATTATTAGTCTGTATATAATCAATCACATCAAAGTTTGATTAACGATAAATGTATGTTTAATAATCATATATATTTAATATATTTGATATATATTTAATATATGCACAAAAATAACTTCATTAATCAGTGAAATTATTTACGATTTTATGTATATGATGATAGATCAGACTTGACTGACTGGCCGATTATTTTAGTCAAGGAAAATTTTGATGGATTAGTGTCCAACAGTTGTCTTATAATATCCTACACCTTGGAGTATCAGATTACATCTCACCCAGGCGAAGCAAACTTCTCCCACTGTTCACGAAATATTAGAAGCAAATTCTACGCAAAAGAAAATAAAAAAGGAAAGAACGCGGCCCCAAGTCCAACCCCATGTCTTCACATTGCGAGAGCCTCATATAGCAAAAAAAAAAGAAAATAATATCTTTGACTTTCGCAGGTGCTTTTCGAGAGACGGATCCTTCTAGGTTGCACCGTTATGGTGGGACTCTCGTCGTGTATATGGTCCATAGCGATAGGCACCGATCATTGGTATGGAGTGGAAGCGCCAACTGATCAAGGTTTGCCTCTGGGTGGTCGCGGCAAAGTTGGCAGAAGATTGCTCTACAAGCACATGGGCCTGTGGAGAGGTTGCATCGACGGGTTGGTGCCCGAATCGAACAACTCCACGAATTTAGTTCCTTACAGTAAGTGTCACTCTCTCACTTGAGATTTCTATGCTAATCTATTATACACGAGATTTTTCATATTGAGACTCTAGGTATACTATTCTTTATACGTTTACCGACAGTTGTCGGATCAGTAGTCGTTGTCGCGCAGCTTTTCGACAGTATAAAAAAGCTGCGCAACGCGTGTCGATCCGACAACTGTCAGTAAACGTGTGCAGAATAGCACCCCTGTGCTGGGATTCTGTAACTCGTTATTGGAGTTAACGATAGTTTCGTTATCGTTGCGCAACTTTTCTACGGTATACAAAAGCTACGCAACGATAACGAAACTGTCGTTAACTCCAATAACGAGTTACAGAATCCCAGCACTGGGGCCCTATTCCGTAGCCATTTATCGACAATTGTCGGATCGGTAGACGTCGTTGCACAGCTTTTCTTGGTATAAAAAAGCTGCGCAACGACGTCTGCCGATCCGACAATTGTCGGTAAGTAGTTACGGAATAGGGCCTCTGGTCCTTCGCTGCGGAACACTTGATTGATGACGCCAGAAGCGAGGAAACGCATGCTGAAAATATTTGCGTGCTGTTTTCAAGTAAAAAGACATTTGTATGAAAGAATATTTGATATCACTTAAGCTATAAAATGCTTCGTCCTTTTCCTCTTGACAGTCAATAAGTAGTCGTGAAATTAACATGACGAAATCAAGAGACAGGATAGACTAAAGAGAAAGATTGCATGTCACGTTAATTGCACGGCTGCCAAAGAGAAAGGATAGTTTTCGGGACAAGCACGCTCAAGTGATCTGTTCTTTCATTCAAGCATCTTTTTACCTGAAAGTAGCACGCAAGAATTTTCGATGTTTTCTTATTTTAACGTTAGTCAGTGAAGAGTTCCGCGGCGAGAGATCGGAAGCCTTAATTCGTTATTAAGAATGAATCGCGGAAACGAATTAATGACTGAAATCCGCGTATTGTTTCAGGGGAATGCAAGAATTTGGAGATGTTTCCAACGGAGATGCAGCTAAAATTGGATTCGAGCCTGGATGCGACAGTCTTGAGTAAATGTCCCGAAAGTTAACGCTTTGAAATTTGACGCGATACAGCGACAAATCGTTCATTGTGTGAATAAATTAGCTTCGTTAATGCAGAGACATATCGATTGATGACGTCAGAAGCGAGGAAACTCGTGCTGAAAATATTCGCGTGCCGTTCTTAAGTAAAAAGATATTTATACGAAAGAACATTTGATATCACTTAAGCTATAAAATGCTCCGGAAACTGTCTTTTCCTCTGACAGTCAATAAGTAGTCGTGAAATTAACGTGACGAAATCAAGAGACAAAATAGACTAAAAAGGAAGATTGCATGTCACGTTGTGTTGTATTGCGATCTTTAATAAGTCTGAAGGTAGTTGGTCCGCAAAACCACTTTCTTATCTCTCAAAATTGAACTAAGATTTTAACTTTAACTAAGATTTTAATTTCAACTAAGATTTTAAATTTAATTTCACCCTTTCAACTTTAATTGCCCATTAATGTAAAATACTGTAAGCTGTTAAAAACAGATGATTGATCGTTTGCTAAGATATTTGCTAAGATATTTGCAACTAGATTGAACTAATCTAAACTAAGCTAAACGCTGGGAGACCTTTTCTTTCTTATATGCATTCCTTAAAGTTTTTTATACTTTCAATTATTATTTCTAATTTTTTCTAAATTTAGGATTGCGAAACTGTCATGAGTTTAAGAACCGACGTACAGATTACGCAAAAATGACCCACAATACCATTACTGAAAGTGTTTCTGCGGCGCGGACTATCTGCAATTGTCGCAACAGCTGCGGCTATTCCATTCACAATACGTCGCACGCGTTTTAACATATAGAGCGATTCGTGAGACTCATCTCGAACTCGACTCGATCATTTTTAGACTACGCCAGGACTCAGGTCTCGTTCGCCTTGATCAGCCTCTTCGTCATGGTGATGGGATTCTGCTTTTCGATTTACACGTTCCGGAATCCGCGCTACATGTTCAAACGCCTCGCCGGTGGAATACACTTCATAACCGGTAATTAGCGCTACGTAACTCGATATAGTCCCTCCCCCCCTTCCCGAGCCCCACCCTTCAACAAATTAAACAACAGCCGTTACGTCGGTCGCGTGGATTCCCCGAGTTATTCCGTTCTTGTGTCAAGGCAATTCGCTGCCTCGCCCTTCGCTGTTACGCTATTAATCAGCATGCGCCGCGCGTTAGGAACGATCGAATTGATTAATCGTATGCCGATCTCCTTTCAGCCTCTTGCAACATGGTGGTTATACAGGTGTTGCTCTCCGCGATCGAGTACGAGAGTAATCACGTGTTCGAAACCTTCCCGAAGGGCGCGGTTATGAAGTACGACTACTCGCTTATCCTCGCGTGGATCGTGTTCTTGTGCAATCTCGCGGCCGGTATTGCCTTCATGCTTTTCTCGAGGAAAAGGAAGAGGGACAAAGCGCCTACCGAAGAGATCGCCATGGCCGACGAGCCGACGATAATCGGTCGTTGAAAAAGTTACTTCCTTACTGTTATTCTTGTTATTATTATTATTATTATTATTAATATTATTAATATTATTATTATCTTGTTATTGTTACACGTGGAGAAACTGTGAATTCTGAGTGTGAATTATAAACGGTGCTACCGATATGCTCAATTCTCTCGTGCAAGGTGCGCTTTCTCAACGAGGTAAAAGTACCAATTTCTGCACACGTATTTAATCCTAAACATTCTCATTGTTTCTGTCCTTAAATACGAATATTTAAACTTTTAATATGAAATATATGTGTATATAGGTTTCCTTCTTCTTTATGTTGAAAGTTTAAATATTCGTTGAGGAGTCATCGACGGCGGAACAGTTGACAATTACACGAACGCCGGGCTGCGATTAACATTAACTTTATTAAATACGATAACACCAGTAACATATATAAGCAATAATATATATAACAACAATAATTTTTCCTCGTCCTTTCTGATAGACATACACATCAGAAGTGCTCTAAAAGCAGGTCTAATAATGATACAACGGTGAAAGCACTGTGTGCTTTCACGTGGGCTCTATACTCGTGGCACAACATCTTCACCTAGATTATCTTTTAAAATCGAGACGCTAAGATTCTCTGTTTTGGCGCCTTCCGGTGACACGGTCCACTATCGCCTGTGTCAGCACCCTTCCCGCAATGTCTCGCACTAAGTTCGTCGGAAGATATTGCGCCAATTGATCACGCAAACCAGGCCGATTGGTGGTCGTGATATAATTCGAGCCCCGATATCCTCCTTGCGGGTATCCCCCCTGTGGATATCCTTGTTGGTAACCTCCTTGCGGATATCCCTGTGGATATCCTTGTTGGTAACCTCCTTGCGGATATCCCTGAGGGTAGCCCTGCGGATATCCTTGCGGATAACCTGTATTGGACTGCGGGTAGCCTTGCGGGTAACCTTGATGCTGCGGAGAACGCTGAGTACCGTACGGATACCCCGCGTTCTGAGTCGGATAACTGCTACCGCGAGACGCCGGATTCTCCTGCGGATATCCGGATGGACGCGGATTGCCAGCGTTTACGGTGCTAACGCCGGTTCGCCTGGCTGTCGTCTCGCCGGATGGGTTCCTCGAGTTATCTGGATATCCAGAAGACCCGCTTGGATATCCCGATCCTGCCGGATAACCGGAACCACTTCTGGAAGGATAACCGGATGATCCACTGGAAGGATAACTGGATGATCCGCTGGAAGGATAACCGGATGATCCGCTGGAAGGATAACCGGATGAGCCACTGGAGGGATAACCGGATGATCCGCTGGAAGGATAACCGGATGATCCGCTGGAAGGATAACCGGATGAGCCACTGGAGGGATAACCGGATGATCCGCTGGAAGGATAACCGGATGATCCGCTGGAAGGATAACCGGATGATCCGCCGGAGGGATAACCGGATGATCCTCTAGAAGGATAACCGGATGAGCCACTAGAAGGATAACCGGATGATCCGCTGGAAGGATAACCGGATGATCCGCTGGAGGGATAACCGGATGAGCCACTAGAAGGATAACCGGATGATCCGCTGGAAGGATAACCGGATGATCCGCTGGAGGGATAACCGGATGAGCCACTAGAAGGATAACCGGATGATCCGCTGGAAGGATAACCGGATGACCCGCTGGAAGGATAACCGGAAGATCCACTAGAAGGATAGCCAGAGTTACTAGGCGGGTTATTAGGTCGGGAATGACTAGTGGAGGTTGAGTCGGAAGTTCCGGAGTCTGGATAGCCGCTATTGGCAGGATATCCTGAGCCAGACGGATATCCGGAGGATCTACCGGGTTGTGAGTGCCCGTTGGGGCTTTTCGAAGTGATATCCGGCGATCCACGTGCCTCGGTTTCCGTGGGGTAACCACTCTGGCGTTTCGGAACTACTCGCGCCTCCATTTCGTCGTCTTCTGTGAACAATTCGTCATCTGCGTCCTATGTAGCGAGAATCGTTATGTGCTCAGGCGGCAATGTGGCTATAGGAAGTGGGTGATGTATTGAAAGAGATGAAAGAGATGTTTTAAAGGAAAAAAGAATGATGTACAATTGTATTTTCGTGAAGAAGCGGCGCCAATTCTCTATCGAGCTCGATCTGTCATGCGAGATGCAAAATAGTTTATATTACACACGGCATGCATTATACGCGAACGTATTCTCTAAAACTCCTCAAGTAAAACAGGTGTGTCAGCCATGTTACTTATGTCTAAATCACCGCTCAAACTTCAGAAGCTCCGCGTGACAAAAGCGAAAGTGTTAAATATACGGCCGCGGGGTAACTTTTGTACACGAGAGTAACTTTTGTCACTCATACCCGAGTCTGTATGTATGTTGTGTATCTGTGTTTGCACATGTTTACACATAATTCTTTCCTTTTCTTTCTTTGAATATATAACTCCAGGCACTTAATAAGGTCAATGTCCCAACGCCACTCTATGATAATTAGATGATAAAGCCTTTCGAAAATAATCCAAAGTATATCCCAAAAATCACAGATTACGTTCGAAAACGTCCTTACATAGCGGCGGTTAGACCAGAACATCCACACACAGAACTTCCACACATTGAGCAATTGAATTGATCATACTGTTGATTATAGTACGCAAGTGAAGTTTATTTCAAATCGATTAATGTTACATTATATTGCTCATTATATTGCTATAAGTGTCGTCTCTGTATACAATTATTCGACATTATATACGTCCGCGGCATGAAAGTGACAATCTGTCAACACATTCGCCTTTGGTTAACAGTATCTCAGAGAGTTAATAGTAAACGTTAAAAATAGAGGTATCTGCAGGTCGACTTTCATCCGGAAAACGTCCAGACTCGGTTCCCCTGGCTGTCTACGCGAGTGTGAGTGGTGTAATAACCGTTTCCGCCAGTTTGCGCGGTGCTCCTGCCAAAACTAGTGCCAGAACTGGCGCCCCGAGAACCGGACCTGTTGTCGAACATGCGACCGTAGGTCAAGCTGTTGGTGTTCCTGGAGCCGGAGCTGCCGTGCCGCATCGCATCGTACGACGAAGATCTAGGCGGCGGCGTCGGGATTCTCGGTGTCGTACGATATGACACCCGGCCCGGAAGTCGTGCTGTCGAATCATATGATGAAAGGAGAAAGACCGATCAAGTTAACACCGCGAGAATCGAAACCGGTTGTCGGAGCCTTCACTTTGGTCGTGTCAATCGTCCCTTATATAATAGGAAGACGGAACGCTAGGAAGGTGTGAGAGATATGTAAAAGTGTTCACAACTAGAGACATAAAATTACCATCAGATTCAAAGTGACGATCACTTACGGCGAAATTACGGTAATTTTTGGTAATTTTTTACTCGACGACGATCTATCGTGTATTTATTTCTTTCACACAAAGGATGATCCAACACTTGCTCAGCGATTTAGAGTTGACGCTGAGTGCAACGTCAACGTGCAACGTCAACATGCAACGTCAACGTGCGAGATTTTCGAACGACAGATCTAAGGTGTGAATTTTCTTCCGCTACATTTGCTCCTGTCTGTCTCTTTTTCCGTTTCACTTTTCGCATATTTATTCGTTTCGATGTTTTTACAGTAAAGTACTCCAAAAGAAAAGAGAAAAATAAAAGAAAAAACACGTGTATAAAAATGTCAAGTATAAAAGATCTCTTGTACAATCTTGGAAAGATTAAGAAAGCAGAGAATACCCCGCGATATCTGTCGTGTGCAAATAATTGTACGCGAGGAAGCTCCTAAATGAGTATAGCACAGCAAGAGATAAGAGTGTTGCTTTTAATATAATATCGCTTTTTATATAAATATTACTTTTTCTTTTCTATTTTCTCTTTATATAGACTTTTCCCCGTAATTAACCAGAGCCGATAAAAAGATACGCGGATGGAACAGCAAATAATAAATAACTGTTCGCCGAGACGGTCGATCGATCGATCGGTTTTATACCGAGAGATATGAAATGTAATATCCCCGCCTACAAGACGCAATAACTCGCACTTAAGTTCGCATCGGCTGAATGGCGCACGAGGAGATAACGAGTATCAAGGTTGAAGTTGATAACCTATTAATTTGCGGAAGACCTATTACATCATGAAACGCTCGCGGGACGTTCTACGAACCACCAACGTCACGACAAAATAAAGAAATTGACTGACTATTCATTGGAAATTCCAAATACGTGTTTCTGACGAACTGCAAAGAGATAAACGTGTGCGTGAGGATCCCCTGCGCGATTCTACGCCGAGAACTTAACTGACAAACAAGATTCTTTTTCGCGAGTTGTAAATCGCGTTCAGCAAACATAACTTTCCATCGACTGCAGCATGGTAGAATTATTTGCACACACAGTCCAGATTATGTGTACCACCGTATATGTACAATAATATAACGCTGGCTAATAGCTAAATCGTTACGTTCCTATGTATAATTTTGAAATAAATATTACATTATTATATGTAGGACGCGTCCGAAGTCGCGGTACAATCAGGGAAAAACTGTCTTGAATGTTAATTCAAGATTAGTAAAAAGCATGAGGATATTGTTAAGCTTTTAATCTTCGTTTTCGAATTATTTTTGCATGAGGTATCATCTTTTCCTCGATTGCATCGCGACTTGAGGTATCCAGTGCTCGAATCACGATATATTTCCCGATGTGCACAAACACATAGACACACCACACGCACGCACACTTACACACATACACACATACACACACACGTATAAATCTTTGCTTTCAAGAGACGAACGCGATTTTTCTTCCGGCCCCACTGCAATTCTGTTAATATTCATCGTTTTTGTGCAATGTTAAAAGCAGAGAATAGCATTAAAACGAAGATTTAAGAGAGGAAAGGATAGCAATGGGAACACCAGGTGAATGCAGATAAATAGACTGGCAAGACTGAAACGAATTTCGCGCATGCAATAAGTCGTTGAGGAAAGGGACGGCAATGTCCATGGCAATGATATCGCTCGACGAGCTACCCGACCAGCGAGAGAAAAATATGCCAGGATTCAAAGCACCAGCTGAGTTCACAAGAAGCTCGCGCAATAAAATCGTATCTCGTCCAGCATATACAACAAAATCTGTATAAAAATATATATATATATATATATATGTTATCAAAGACGCACTTTTTTTCTCCCGAAACAAAAAACACGATGTATATAGATTTATTAAAAATATTAAATCATCGTGTTTTATCGCACGCGCGAATTAGAGAATTCGGAGTATTCACATCGCAAAGTATACTTTGATTGAGATTTCGCGAAAATTTGAAGCGTCAAAACCGATAATTATTGCAATCGTCCACATAGAGAAAACAATTACTTGAAAGTTCATTTGTGGAATATAAAGTTTATTTCGGCCAAATAAAGTCTTTCTCTCACAGATAAATTTTCAAGCATCCTTTTCCCAGTGCAGAACCAGCTACCGGCGAATAACGGTGGGATACGGCGCGGCGATTTGTTCTAATCAATGCGAGGTAGACATTAGAGAGCTTCTACGTAATCCGGAAGACCTAACGTTACTGTAAACTAAGTGCCAACGTCCGGACTCGTACCCAATCCTGGACATTCTTATTGTTTTGATCTTTTTAAGTACGAATATTTGAACTTTTAATATAAAATATATGTATACATATTGAATATATACATATATTCTGCGTTAAAGTTCAAATATTCGTATACGGAAAGCAAATTTGTTTAGATGAACCAATTTCTAACGAAATACGAACGATTCAGGAATTCCAGTCGGAGTCAACGGAATTCAATCGAAATTATTAAAATTCCTGATAAACTTAAGCAGAACTCTGATAATTTTAATCGAAGTTTCTGAATCGCCCGTATTTCACCAGAAGTCCAGAATTCACCAACTGTGGTCACCGATTTCACAGAAATTGGTTCATCCAACCAAACTTCTTTTCTCGTGTATTTAAAGAAAACAATAACGAAATAATAAACGAAAACAATAAGATTACCCAGGATTAAGTATATGTCCGGGATCTTTCACTCTATTCATCTATACAAAAAAAATTTCTCTAGTACTTTCTTGTGCGTTTTCCTTAACAACCACTTTCTTTGAAGGCCACGTCGAGGAATAGGATCGAGATCGATCAGACACAGCAACATCGAAATACAAGAACGTCGAAAACCACGAAAATCACACGACAATTCGGGAGCCCGATTCCCGGGATCCGAGTCACAGGGTCGTCTCCAGCAGCAGCAGCAGCAGTCCAGCCAATCCGACGAGAACCGTCGTGGAGGTGAAGGCGCCGGTCGCGGCGGCGCCGTTTCGTCGGTAAACCGAGTTCGTGTTGTAGCCGTAGCCGCGTGGCTGATTCTGATTCGGGTAGTTCTGGTAGCCGGGTTGGCCCTGGTATCCCGGGTACTGCTGCGGATAATTCCCGGGATGTCCGGCGGGCGCCTGCGGGTAGCCAGGATACGGCTGCTGTCCCGGCATCGGCATCCTGTTCTGCGTCGGATACGGCGGATATCCCAGATCTCGATGACCGGCCTGATTGGTCGATTGCGGGTAGTTTGGGTAACCACTCGAGCCGGAGGAGCCGGTGTTACTCGGATACGGTGGGTAACCCAGGTTGCTGCCCGACGTACGATGATAGCCACCGGCTGGATCAGCCGGCGCTGGTGGTGCGTTAGCGTTCGCGTACGGATTCGCGTTATTCCCGGCGGCCACTCGCTCGCCGTTCACGTACGAGACGCCAGCCGACTCGTAGCCTGCACAGAGATGTACACTCTCGCTACTCGTCGTGCCCACACCGCACCGTGATTCATTTTTGTGCAAGACGCGCGTGAATTTTGCGGAACACGGCACTGACAAGTCGACCGCGGAAGAGGAAAGACGAAATTTCAGTTTTGCCACCACCTTGATTACTTGTTAGCCTCTCAAACGAGAGGAATTTGTTTTCTTTGTGGAGTCCCGAGGAAAGGACGTTTTCCCGACGTTAATTAAGAGAGAGAGAACGAGAAAATTGTATATTTTCTTAATTTACTAAATTAAGGAAAGCAGACTTTACTTTTTGCTTTGAAGGGAAAACGGAAGCAACTGTATATTTCCTTTCGGAGCGCGCGACTAATTTAAATCCCAGGCGGCAAACTCATATTTGTTATTTGGTACGCGTACTGATTAGATAACGAAGTACCGGTTTGGGCCGCGTCGTTCTCCATCAAACATTCACGTGTCTATGTTGACTCGACCCTGTTCGTGCTATGAAATGCATGAGAGACCCATGGTCTATCACAATCACGGAAAAACCCATTCTTTCGCGAGCAAAAGGAAAATAAACAACAATTCGCGGGAGAGAACCCCGACGTCGGTTCAACCAACGTCGACTCTTACTTGACCGGATTTTTGTCATGCTTTTCGTGCATTAGCTATCGCCAGCGCTCGTTACGTCCTCATGCTCGCGATGTAGTCGAGTATTATAAGCGTGAAGAAAATCGTGGAGACTCACCTGATTCTGTGCTCTTCCTCACGCACTGTGGTGCACCATTCTCGTTCTTGCAGTACTCGTTGTGGCCGCAAACCATACTGGCGCAACTTAGGCCTGTAAACAGTTTCGATAGACATTGGGTTAATGCGTTCTAATTGGTGCAATTGATGCGAACCACATATTGGTTTTTTTAAAACTTTTTAAAACGGATAAAGAAACACATAATCTACGTTTCTCTATCATAGAATTGTAAACATTCAAATGCTTGGCCTGAAAAATCTCTGATATTTAATGCATCGACAACTTTATAATAAGGAACGTAAACGTTTTCATCGAATCATGTTTTCTGTCTGTTTAAAAGACACTTTTAAGCTTTAAAAGTTTTTTAATTCCCAGTTTTTACCGCTTGTTTTCTGGCATGTCGGATATCGTCCGCATTTATCGTCCGAGTAACTGTTGCAAGGATCCTCAGCCATCACGCAGACCTGGTCGCTAGGACAGCCGATGTCCTTGCAGGTTCTTCCATATTCTGGAGATCAAACAAATGGAAAAGTTACCTTGGATATAGTTTATGATACGAAAGAAAAGTGTAACAAGCTAAAGCATAATAATGTTTCTCGATAAAGTCGTAAAAAAGCAACGAAACGCGCGTTATTTCTTTCCTACTTACTGGAGAAAGACGCCGCATCGGGAATTGTGGCGATTATCAGTAGCGTACCGAGGAAAACGCTGAACGTAACGCACGAAGACATTTTCTGAAAACAGAATAAGTTAAATAATAAACAGAATAAGTTAATTTCTCATAGACACGATGTTGTAATTAACGCGAGAGAAACTCTGTACTTTTGATTATTGATCACTCGAGAACCGTGGCTATAGTCATACAAGAAAGAGGACGAACCACAGAGGAGATCAGGGTAGATCGATATTTTTTTCTGAATTTAAATTTTTAATAAAATTTTTAATAATTAAATTTTTAATAATTAAATTTTTTAAAAGTTCTCAAACAACTAGTCGATAATTTTGATGTAATTGACTGTACAGATATTAAAAATATTGTATCTCGCAAATATTTCGTCTTTTGTGTGATCAGACGCGCGATAGTCGTACAGCTCGGGAGTGGTCACAATTTCTGTGTCACAACAAAAAGACACAAAGTCCGGGTACACCCACGACGCACGGGTGTCCTGAATTTTGCATCAGGGCGCAAATTCAACTCAGCACGAGCCTGTTTCATCGTCCAAGTACGTTCTCACACCATTGCTATCCTCTACTCGAGCGTCATCGTCGGAAGGAGGGGAGCCTTGTATACGCGCACACATCCGCACACATACACACACCTGCTCGCACGCATCGCAACGTACACACCTTTTCGCTCCTAATGCCAGTGAGACCGCCACGACCAAGGAACTCCACGTGATCGCCAAGGACCGCCGAGGAGCTTAACATGAAATATTACGCTTTCGCGCCTGGGAAACCTATCGATTATCTCGAGAGCGCATTTCCGCATCTGCGGTGCGCATCTGCGTCGTAGGACGCGAGGAGAAATTGCGTCGGAGTCACGTAACACTGCGCGCACGTCAACGTGTGTGCTCCGCAACAATTGTCTCGTCAGCAACACTCGCGTTCTCGCGACAGGCGTACGCCGCGATGTAGACACTATTGATCCGCCGTCGTCGCCAGCCAAAAAATATCGCGCGGCGCGCCTTCCACCGTGTGACGTCGTCGCGCGGTTCTTGCCGCGGACGAGACGCGGGACAAGCAACGATAAAGCAACGGTAATTAACGGTAATCAACAATTCGGACCGTATCTCGCGACACAGAAAGTCGACGGCGATGACGTGGCGGGCTTTTCGCGCGGAAGAACAAAGGAGACGTTATTAGTCACTGCTTACCTCTCCGTACTGCTTGCACCTGTTTTCCGCGCGCACTGCCGTAGTCGTCTGTAGTCGCCGCGACACTGAAACTCGTCGGAGTCGTGGCCAAGTCGGTGGCGGTGCAGCGGGATCCCCTCTGACGATCGCGACGCTGGAGCGAAAGAGAGAGGGAGAGGCCAAGGGTGACGAGAGCGACGAAGACGCCTGGTGGAAATGCCAGATGAAGACGAAGATGAGAAAAGATCGAGCTCTTTGGCGCGATAGCCGCCAAAAGGAGACACCAGCGGAATGACGCGCCGCGTTCGCGGAGAATACTGATTGCTGCGCGCGTGCGTGTGCGTGACGTTGATGGAATGTTATGGAAAAATGCGACGCCGCGATAAATAATCCGGTCAATTGCGCTGCGATACGTTTGATCAGCCGTCTCTCGCGAGTGAAAACCCGAGCGCGCATCCGCTTCTGCTCCTGATGACCCTCTATACGGAGAAGAAATATATATTAGTACGAAGTAATCTCTCTCTGTTTTTCTTCTTCTTGATGCTTTAACGTATAAGAATAATATGTTTCTTGCAATTTGCGCAACCGTATAATCTTGCCGATTCAGGCTGTCTTATCATTCGGCTTTCAATGAGTCGGAACGATGTTTAATCTCAAGTTGGGGCTGGATCAGACCTTTTGTATTCTATCAAGTTATTACAATCGATGTGTGTTTACTGCGACTATACTACTGTGTAATAATATTATGCCTTTGCGAAATACAATCAATCACAGACGACGGAATAATTGACGCATTACAATGTATTTATACAATGTGTTATAGCGCAATGGTGTAAATTTCTGCTGCTCTCCCGTTTCTTTGTTCTTAGTTCCTCGAGGAAAAAAAGGATAAGTTAACCTTCTCGCGAGTAACTACATAATTTGACTGTACAATCCCTATATATTTGTATTTCACGTAACAAAAGTTTAAAAATACGACACGATATATCGTGCTTGTGTATGTATGTTTGTGTATATGTATGTAAAAATAAATTGGACCCTTTATTTCCTAAGAGCTGCATAGAATTTTGCTGACACTGCCAGCTTCGAGCTGCTATTTCGAATTGCCGGATTGCCTCCGCCATTTTGTCACTATATAAAAACTAACAACACGAGATGTAGTGAATTATCTTCGACTCTATACGCAAGCTCCCGGATACTCTATTAAAATATATCATACGGTAATTCTGGAACATTCTGCATGTTCTAATCTATTACACAAGTGCATATTCCTCAAAGGTGAAGACTACTATACGATCTACGTAGAAACGCTACGACTAATAACAGCTACTTTAATGATGCCTTAATGATACCTGATAATTGCGTCCACTTAGCAACTGAATGATGCGTCAACGAATGTCTCATCGATACCATTTACTTCACATTGAACACATCTTCAATTCGCTGAGCCGAGTCGCGAGTAACTTCTGTTCCTTTTTTCTTCAAGTTTATTTATATATATATATATATTAGAGATGTACAAATCAAAGATTTTTTTATGTCGAATCGAATCGAATGGAATTGAATCGAATCGTTGAAAGAATTTTTAATTAACATAATCATTGAATTCAACATGAATATAGTAATTTCAATATGAGAGAGATAACATTGATCGTGTGAAATCAATTCATTTTAAGGATATATAATATATAGTTGGTAAACGTGTATGCAATACAGTTCCAGCCTTGAAAGCTGCGCAACGACACATATTAATCCGACAGTTGGTAAGAATTTATCTAGAAGCCATTATCTTCTTTTAATATTTTTGAAGAAAATTTTAATGTATAGCAAACTTTTCAAGTAAACTTTTCATAATAATTCCCATAAAGTTGGATGTTTTTAATAGTTTTTTGTACGCGATCTGTATTCAAATTTTTTCGATTCGAAATTTTCGAATTATTCGGATTCGAATCATAGGGGTTCGATTTTGAATAAAAAAAAATCGAATTTCACTTGATTTGATTCGACTCGATTCAAATTCGAATAGTTCGCACTCTCTAATATATATAATACTTCAGATATGAATAATTAAATATTAAATTAGGCCTATAACGGAGTCCGATCTGATGTATATTTTGAGACAATATGAATGACTTATGTTCTCGGCTGATAGGAAAGGTAGCTTCTGATAGAGATAATTTCCTCGGATGGAGACATGGTTGTTATCCTCGTGGGAAGTCACCTGTGACTCGACTCGACGCAACACGATGCTCGAGCAGGTATTGATATGTATCGATATTAATAAGTACGTAATCGGATTAGCCCCGCTGCGAGAGGACGTGAGCCCTTCAGCGATATTCAACAAGTGGGTTCTATGGGTACCGGCATCCTCGCGGAGCGGCCGAAGAAGCCGCGAGTGCCGTCAGGTCCTGACGGCATTCTCGTCACGTTCTCGGGTAGATGCGTCATCGCGATGCCGTTGTTACTCCTTGACTGACAGAATCCATTTTGCTCCGAGCCCGAGGAGCACAGAGACAATCTCCGTATGTTCATGTCGTAACCGGAATCGCGGCTGCACGTCGACATTCTTCTCAGGAACGGCCCGTAGTCGGCCGAGCCGCGACGGCTCGTGACGTAACAACCCCCTCCGCATTCCATGGGAGAACCTACAACAAATAACACAACTCGATATTCAACGTAATACGTTATAATGCATTTATATTAATTAATGTATTTTTATTATATATTATATTAGTATATATTTCTGGGTTCGCGCGCGAATAGTCTGCTCATACGAACCGGTGGAAGAGCAGCAAGAGTACCGGCGACTCTCATGATGGTAGAAGTTACCCGGGTAGCCCGGATGAAAGAAGGGTGTCTCAGAGCTGGACGAGCACGTGGAGTAACGTCTACCAGTGTCCGAGCCGGAGCCGGAGCCGGAGCAGGAGGACAAGCGCCGAAACATGAAGCTGTTGTCCGAACTGGATACGGAGCAGGAGGAGAGCTTCCGTGATAACCATGCGTCAGGTGAAGGCGGCCCCGCTGTAACAGATACGCACATACAAATAATAATGATCTGACATCTGAGGCTTCGGCAGTGTGAAACCGCGAGTAATTATCCAGATAGGCTTTCATGGTTATCACGATGCGAGACCAATGATGCAAATTCCTTCAACTACGCTTTTATGAAGCAAATATACCGTATTAATTATTAAATTAACAATAATGTAAATTTGTCATTATATCAACGCAGCAACAAATTTACTATAAGTTACACGGAGATTTTTATATTACATTTCCTATAACGTTGTTTTCAGCGAATTTTGATTATTCTCCCGGTGTCTCAAAGCGTCTAAAATCAGCACATCAAAGACGTTGGAATATATGACGTCTTTAAGACGTCTTATGTTCCAATTTTAGACGTTGTGCTATGCGTCTATTTCGTCCAGCTAATGTGATAAATGTGAGTGCCATATGAGCCATTCCAAAGATATGCAACCTTTACAAATCGACTAGTAAAGTTACTGCTAAATTTACATACATCTGTTTATGTGGATAGTAAGGATTTATGACGTGTGCTCACAACTTTCGTGCTTCTATAAAAAAGGAAGAAAAGAAATCCATTGAACTATACAGCAGAAGACATTTCTCTTTCCCTCTCTCTCTCTCTCTCTCTCTCTCTCTCTCTCTCTCTCTCGGAAGACTCTACCTTGGAAAGGATAACCCGCGTGGATGTGATACATCGGGTATCCTGGGACGCTTTTCTTGTGCCTCATTCGCCCATCCTCCGGTTCAGAGCCGCTTGGACAACTGGACGAATTGTAGTTATCCTCCCTAGTCACTCTATTAAGAACACTTTTCTTCGTGGGCTGATGCTTCCTCTTCTTGTCAGCCGACTGATGCAGCTCGAATACCTTGGCGTCACCCAAGGTCGTCATTTGCATGGCGATCCGCGCAGAATTCGAGTCCGTGAACTCGACCATGGCGCACTCCTCGCTGGACGCCAGTTCTGGCCTCTTCGAGATAGCCTGTCGTACCTGGGCCAAAAAAATTTGAGAAATATTGTGATGAGTATAATATTTGAGAAATATTTTACATTATATTTTTAAATATAATATTATAGAATATTTATATATATTTATATTTATATATTGATATTATATTATGTTAATATTAATTATTAAATAAATATTATTAAATTAATATTATATTATGTTATATATTATATTACAGATCGTATTATTACATTATATTAATATTACGTTATATTATTATCTTATGCCTGCTGCATACATAAACAAGATAATTAAGATATAATTAAGATACGTCAATTGAAAGAAAGGTTGCGATACTTTTGCTTCGATAAAAACTTCAAAACGCGTTTGGTATCCAAAAAGACAATTTTTTGAAAGTTGCTATAAAAATTCGTACTGTTTTCATAAAAAAAAGAAAACTAATCAATTGGACTAGATAGCAAATTTTGCTTTCTCTCTTTCTCTTATTTCCGGAAGACTGTTGGAAAGCACAAATTTGAAAATTATATTTTCTGAAAATTGCTGAAATAAAATAAATTCTTTGTCTTATTCGAATATCCAGCGAAACTCATTGGAAAAGACTGCAATTTATGTGTCCATAGATTTACAGTGATTATATATACGGATGATTGTACAGATTACATAGATAACACATTAAAAAATAATGCGTTGAAGATTTATCACGCAGCATTCATCACGCTAATTTATCATCAATTAATCTCGACTGACAAACAGTTGACGTAAGGATTAACCAAATCACTACCTGGACGGAGATCAAACATTGACGGAATAGTCGTTTACCGCAATCACAAGTTTCAGCTCTCGCGATCAATTACAGGTTGTTAGAAGGTGAGCGTCTCACATTAAGTGTAAGACTGCAATCTGTACATACGTTACATCATGGTGGTTTCCACATCACGGCGCAATAGTGGAAAATTTGGAAAATTGGTCGCGGAATCGCGACAAACAAGCATTATTCGACTCGCCACTGGTTATTATCAGCCTAGGTATGCGCAGTGTTCCGCTCGGTTGAACTGTCAATAACAATTACAAAGCTGTGACAGCGGTAATCGCGACTTCGCGATTCTTATCAATAGTCAGCAATCTTCTCATCTACTGCCTACGTGCTTCACGCTGACCCCACGTATGTGACCGGCAATGTACTTTGCCACAACTGTACGTTGTATTCACATATAAAGAATAATTTCGTATATAAAAGCCTAGTCATCTTTATGATGACGTCAGAAGAGAGAAAATGCAAAATTCTCGCCATATATTACAATGAAGAATCGAACCCATTAGGAATAACACTGGTGATCGATTTGTCATGTAGTCCCGACACTTTCTTCTTGTCTAATAATTATTATTGATTACAATCAATAAATAGCTAATAAGTCAATGTGATATATGACCTACTTCTCGACTAGGTGACTTCGTCGCGTTATTCTTTCACGACTACTTCTTAATTTATTGATTGAACCTGCTCGATCAACCTGCTCAATCACAAGTGTTATATCTTATGAACTTACTCTCTCATTTAAACGCTTCATTAATCAAAATAGTCATAGAGTGGCAAATAGGGACTTGGAACTGTTGAACGTCGCAAATCTGCAACAAGTATTCGAGAGAAAGCCTTACCTCGGAGGGTGCTGGGTGCCCGGGCCTGAGCACCCTGATGAGCGCGATTTCACCGCAGGGCTTAAAGATCTCGGCGACCGACTCGACCGTGAGCTTCTCCACCGGCAGCCTCGCCGCCAAGATGGTCCTGGAGGGCGCCGTCTGGTCGAAGGGCGGTAAGGGATCCACTCTGCGCAGCTTAGTACCCTGCGGATTCACCTCCAGCTTCTTGGACCTCGCCAAGGCCGCGCCGACCACTCTCCAGTCTCTGCTGAGGTGCTTCACCCTCTTGAAGCTGGATATCAGCTTGAGAGACACGTAGCCCTCCTTGTTCCTCTTCACGTGCTTCAGCAGGAAAGCATCCTTCACGATGTTCTCGTCGGAAAAGTAGAACTCCACCTGGGCGCAGATCTTGTCGGCTAAGTCGTCGCTCGGCGGCACGAAATCGTCCGCGGTACTTTCAGAAACGGGAACCTTTGATGGCTCCTGTTGTTGTTCCCGGCTGTTCGCCAGCTCCTTCGGCGTCGAGTCGTCCAAGGAGTCCGCGCCTGAGTCTTGGTCGACGCCGATCTCTTCCTTTGGGGGCCTGATCTCGCTGTCGTAGTCCGACAGATCGGCCTCCTCGCCCTTGGAACCTCTCCTGTCGAACGAGAGACTTACGTCGCTGTCGACGGACGAGATACTGTCCCTCGTCTCGGATTTCTTCATGGGAGGCGGCACGAACGGCAAGCTGCCAATCCCATCCTTCGACTCTTGGTGTATCTCCAGCTCCATCCTTGTGTCGCAGCAAAGAAATTTGAAGATGTGAGTTCTCTAGGAAGACGTGACAAAGCGAAAACCGCTTAGCGACCTTTCGTATTGTTCGCGCGTGAGTTCTAAGTCTGCGCCTCCTTGTTACATTTGAAGACACACCGTTGACGGCCGTCCTCTCCCCCCGCGGCAAAAGCCTCACATTCTAATTGCGATGGTCAGTTGTAATGAGAGTAAAAGTCAAGGGGTCAACGTATACTTACCTTTCTCGGCTTGAGGAGTGCCCGCTCGAACGTTCCCCGACTCGGTACGGATCTCTCAACGGGGGCGCGATTACGTTAAACGCTAAACCAGAAAACTCACGGTCACTATCGCCGCCAGCCCCGTCGACATCAATATACGGACGGGAAAATGGATGAGAATAGTTGTGAGACAACAATGTTCATCGAGCGACGTGATTAATGTATCGCGTACAGTGATGTGCAATTTATCAGTATCCGGTGCACTCACATACTGTTCAATTTTCCGTGATCTTGAACTCTGTCGCGGATCGAATCGTTTTCGATTTTTCTCCTCGCGCGATTCGTGGAAATTTATTTATTTCGCGACAATATCTACACCTCGCGACGCGGTTTGCTTCTATTCCGATGTATTTCTGTATTACATTAACGCAACCATGCATAGATTTGCAGTAATATATTTATGTGAAGTGTACTTGTTAATAAACAAAACGTTACTTTAGATAGAATCGACTAGAACGACACGCGACGTCGAGGTATACGCAGAAAAATATCGTTCTACTTTCTGCGATTATTCAATCTGCTCCTTTTACTTCTTTTAAGTAATGATTATTTTCAACGAAAAATATCTTCTCTACATAGCAATCTTCGAAATATATTCATCACAAGTTTGAGAAAAGTTGATTAGCATGTACTCAGAGGAAGAATGTATCGCAGTGTCTCTTTACAAAAATATTGCAAGACTGGAAAAGTTGATCCGACTTTGTGCTTCGAGTAAATTTATCGCTTACGATGGACCTGTGATTCACGGACGCGTCAACTTATGGAACACTTGAAGCAAGTAACATTTATTCGAGTGCAGCATGCACCTGTCTGTGTGCAGACTCGACGTGGAAGCGCAGAGGGTGAAGAGGACGTTACCTCTCTTCGCTAACGGCGGCTGCTCGACTTTGCTTCGCGACAAAAACGAGAGGAATCGTCACGCGCTTCTCCTCGCGGACGTGGGCGCACCGAACATCACGCCGACGCACATCACTGCGTTAAAATGCGTGCGAAGGAGGGTCGAGACGTATATCGAAATTGCGCCGACGAGGAGGAGTCGCCGACTCGAGGACTCGACGGGGGGCCTCTTGAAGCGGCGCGATGAGAGAGAAGCGATTTGCGAAGGTGCGAACTGTACACCGGGAGATCGTACAAGAGCGCACTCGCTCGCACTGGCATACTGGCCTTCCACGAGGCGCGCGATTCGTTTTATAGCCGCGGTCGGCCGCGTGCGATGCGCGGCGAAGCTGCAGTGATCTCGTGGCCTTCTTGAATGCCAGTCAAGAGTGAGGCAGCGCGGCGAACGATCGAAGGGCACTCGAGTCGGACCTTGAGCGAAGGAAAGGGATTTTTAAGGAGCGCGCACAAAATTTGCCCGCTCGCGCGGAGGACGAGAGTATTTCCTCCGCCCGTGTAAACTCACTTCGCTCCCCCTTTGTTCGAGTTATTCCAAGTCACCGAGTCGAACAGGATCTCAGGGTGCGTCTCGCATTTCTACGCTAGAACTTCAGCCAGAAGGAAGAAATGGCCCGACGGCGAATTTAAACGCGCGCGCGCGCGCGCACGCCTCATGAAAACGAACTTTCGGCTCATTCACTTGTTTGCTCGTTATTTGTCGCTCCCAAACAAGGTGCCTAATTAATTCGTCTTGCTCCCCTTTGCTCAACGAGATAACGTATTCGTGGTTATCTACAAATGCCCGGGGGAAATTGCATTCATAAAGAAGGAGACAAGTTATGTGTGATTATACTTTTTAATTGAATTCCTCGAAGAAAGGACCGGCACGCACACACACACGCGCACACATATACACGAGAGATGTTAATTACAAACATAAAATCGCTAATGGTCTATCGATCTCGGCCTGGTGAACGATGAGGAACGATTTCGCGACATTTCGCGTCATTTCGCGTCCGTCGCGGAAGGTCAGATCGGGACGGCTCGTCGCGCTGCAGGAAGGAAAGACGACAAACTCAGACCAGGCCTTCTTACCTCGGATAAGGCCCCGCGGGCCTATTCGCAAACGACGCGCGTTGCATCCGTACGTCGCCAGCATAATAATATATAGGTCAAGTGCGGCTGGTGCCACGTACGGCCGTGAAGGACGAGGCGATCCGCGAAGTCGTCGAAACGAAAGGGTTCGGCTCGGGCCCCTCGGGGCAACGCGTCGCGTCGCCTCGAGTCTCGTCGCGGTGGGTCCGGGCCGGCTTTGAAAGACAGGGTGATAACCTTGGTCTCGGCCGAAAATCGACGCGGGTGAGGGAGCGGCGCGGGAGGGACGCCGGCGGAAAAGTCGTGTACATTTTCGCATACGCGAGCGACGCTCGAAAGTATACTCGAGTATATTGTTGAAAATGCTTTCCTGATATCCACTCAAAGAAACGGTTAATTAAGCGATTCAGAGCCGCAGCAGAATTTTCGTGCTTATAATAGTTTAATGGTACATTAAAGCTGTAGAGATGTACATAACTATGACGAAGGTCATAGGTCAAACGGTCAAACGGTCGTGTTTTCGGCCCTTTCCAACGACAGAAATTAATGTATTATTAAATTGTTATAAGCACGGAAAGTCTGCTCCAGCTCTTAATAGCTCAATTAATCATTCTTTTGAGAGGAAGTATATTGATATTAAAAGATTTCCCGAACTAAAAAATTGAATATATTAAGTACACAATGATATTGACTCAAATAGGAAAATTATAATATATAAATATATTAATATATAAAAGTAATATATAAATTAATGAATTGGCAAAATTATTTCTAATATTTTTTAACAAGTTACCAAATTAAGCATACAAAATTTTTAAACGTATTAAGGGGGGAAATCCAATTAGAACGAGGAAAAATAAGCTATTTTCAAGAATTTTTTTGTAGGAGAAAGAATTTTTCTATATTTTTCAAACTTAAACATTTATTTATATATGTTTTGGACTGTCCATACGTATTTTTTTTTCCAAAAATATTTAAAAATGGCGGACATATGAAGCATCCCATTTGGCAGGTACGCGTGCGAGTTGCTCAGCTGCTGGACAAATGGCGTCCGTGATATTGATCCTATAACAGGCAGCGAAAAAATTCTTATTATTTATACCCATAATTCGTAATTGAACCTAAAAAAATTGAAAAAAGTCAAAAATTTTGAATATGAAACGCTTATGAAAATAAATTTCCATTTTTTGACGTTTTCTCTGCACAATTTTTGCAATAAATAAGTGATTTTTTATTATAATTTTCACAAACATTTAGGTTCACCGACATTGTACTGATGTCATGAAGTTGTGTGCGAAAGTTCAGCGCGATCGGTTGAATAGTTTTTAAATGAGAGTTCCAGCAGTGCAAAAAAGTACAGTTTTGAGAAAAACGTGTTTAAAGTTTTGACAAGTAAAAGATACAAGATATCTATAATTTACCTCTTAGTCAGCAATCCCGGCGCCATAGAACAATCCTTCTGCTTCCTCGAAGAACTCGTTCTGCTCCAATAACTGCTCTCTTCTGGCCTTTCGAGCTTCTTTAGAGTTGAAAGAGTTGCGCCGCTCCTGTCGAGATACCCGGCGCCCGTCGACGTTCTCAGCATAGTGCTTGGTCTGGCTCCCAATAATTATTTGTAACTCCATCATAATTTGTAGAATGGAAGAATATCCTTCATTGAAGACTCCAGCAGCGATGTAGGATGCAATTTCAACTATTTTCAGCCCAGAATTAAGATGTTTTGGAGCTAAACGCCAAATCGTAGAATTGAAACTTTCATTTGAATTCTGCGTATGACTGCCCAAGCATCTCTGAAGTAATTCTTCCTTAGATAAATCTTCATAAATTGGAAGAATGTGTTTTGCGACTGTTGGATCGAGTGGAGGAGGGTGCTCAAAAGAATCCAAATTTGCTTCAATAGCTTTTTCTTTCTGCCACTTACACCAGCTGTCTTCGCCGGGCGGGCAGTATTCGTGCTGTGGCTTCTCATCCGTAGAGATCAAATGGTAATAAGTGGCTATAATACTTTTTTTCATTCCCTCAATACTATTCGCATTTCTTCTAATTGCCAGACCATAGTACGTTGTGAGCTTTTTAATTAAAGCATCCGTTAGTTTGCCCTTACCACCGAGTTTTTGTGTTTTTTTTATATTTCGGAGCCGAGTGCCCATTCTTTTCTCTACGTGGCCAATGCATTCGCTTTTTGCAACTTGAAATTCATCACCGTAAGGATTCTTATCTAGAATGGCCTTGAAAGTTTTGGAGTCTCCGTCTCCAATATAATTACCATATTTAACGCCGTACTTTTCCTCTGATCTTAAAAAGATTTCTGTAATCGCATCGACCTCCATTTTTCCGGCTGAGCCCTCGTGATTTTTTGTACACTCTTCCTCGTGATTTATATACCACTCTTCGTATTCTGGAGTGTTCACCTTTTTTTTCCAAAATGTGCATGCATGGCAATAGCTACTTTTGATAACTAAATCGATGACTTTGCCCGAATAGTAGCCTATGACCGTTACAACTCCGTACAGCGATTTGAATCCACGTTTTTTCCACGAGCCATCTCCAGAGACTTTCAAATCTAAAATAGACCTCTCATGTTCTTCATTGAATTTTTTTTCTTCTTCGATAGCTTTCTTGCAGAGACTTTCAAAAACAGATTTTGTACAGGAGTGAATATACGTGATGATATTATTATACGTGCTCTCATTCATTCCTTTACAAATGTCCATGAGGTTGCAGAATAAATTAATACCCTCTCTGCCAACACCTAAGAGTCGCATAACAAACACCATCCGACGATTCACTTCGTATCCAGTGTTGATTAGTGGTCCTGAATTGATGTTTCTCTGACCACAGCGACAAAGTAAAACTATCTTGAAACCGAGGCCTCGATTCCCAGCTTCTTCAAACTTTACATTCTGTTTACAAACACGACAAACAAGGAGCTCTGTCAAGGCTGTAAAAACGGTGAATATTTCAATCAAACGATAGCCATGCAATGGATTCCAGTGAATATCTTCAGCACTAGCATTGGAGAGTTTTCTTGCACTCGTACTTTCACATCCTTCATCTTCACTCTTTTTATTTGAAAACTGATTACCATGGAACTTTCTTTTGCGTGGTTTCGATTGTTTTGGTTCGGCGTGTGTGCCTTTCGGATAGGACATTTCGAATTTGCACTGTCGTTTTGTACAGGCCGAACTTCGGAGCTAAACTGAAAACCGGTTCTGCTCGATGCCAGCGCCAACGGACCCAACGGTTTCGACTAAACGTAACAATAGAAATAAAAGCCATCTACCAGGGGTGCGTTCCAAAACCTACAGTAAAACTATAATTACATCTCTATACGTTTTGGATCGCAGCCCTGAAAGGTAAAATCCCCGCTCCGGGTGAGTATACCTGCTGCGTGCTATTAGAGCCTCGACGCTGCTCAAGAGATTTGTTGCGCTCGGAGGCCATAACTTCCGAACGGCTGCGAATTTCGATTTAAAACGTTGGGAACATATTCTTACAATGTTAAATAAACATTTTATGCAAAAAAAAAAAAATCGATTTTTTGAAAGTTCTAATTGGATTTCCCCCCTTAATGGCTTTGAAATCCCTGCTTGTTTGATTTTGAAATCTGTTAAAGAATAGCAGAAGTAATCAATTTTTCCAACTTACTCTGATGGTCAAATAGTCTCCTCTATTCTTAGCCTACCATCATATTTTAATAAAATTGATTATAATTAATTTAAAACATCTACACTTTGATTAAGTTAACATGTACTTTTCGTTTTACAGTTTTTGTTTTGAGACATACTCGGCGTTTTTTTTCTTTTGTAATCTTAATAAAACTTAAAACATAAGATTAGAAATAGTAAAGTTAAAACTTAAAACATAAGATTAGAAATAGTAAAGAAAACTTAAATCATAAATATGTTATATTATTAAATTATATGTTCCATGAGTCTTTCCGGATGACATGCCCGATGGCGGTCGTAGAGATACGCATAGACAGACTGCACGTAGCTGTCCGCGAGTGTACGCGTTGTCGGCGTGGGCGATTCCGTAATTAATCGAGCCGGCGAAACGAGCGAAATCGTAATGAGAGCTTACACCGGCCATTGACCATACACGCCGGATTGCGGCCGTGACGTAACGCGCGCGCGCGCGCGCACTCGTGTGCGTGTGGGCGCGGATGTTTCTGAGTGAAATTTAGGCGCTCGATTTAGGTGGACCGCGTATGTCGGCGCCTTACTCTGCCCGCTTGCGTAACGCCTGATGTGCCGCGTTTTATGATTTCACGTCGTGAAAACGGAAGTTTGTATGTTGTACAAATATCGCGCGCAATATTGGCAAGAACAAAACTGGCGAGGCAATAAAAACCAACGCAACGTGTGTATTATTTGCGAACACTCGTTCGATTAACACAATTAAATTTATAATTGATTATTGAACAGATCTGAGAGTCAATCTAAATTTATATTGTATTACTTTTATATTGCGTAAGGAGCCTTATGACTCGGAAGCAGTTTCGGCTAGAATAAAATCGACCATGGAACGTTCTTTTCTTAAAAAAACATTCTATATCTGTGATAATTTGTCATTCGTATTTGACTGTCTATGTCAGCGTAAACCGTTTGTAGTTCTTCCATTCTCTCTTTCCTTCTCTCTCTACATTCACACACACATACACATATGTATATATATATATATATATATATATATATATATATATATATATATATATATACACGTATAT